ACATGCGCGGGCATCACTTCTCATCCACGTCCATGTCCTCGTCCACGCCCATGTCCTCAGCGGCGCCTTTTTCGTCCTGCTCCAGGATCAGGCCAAGCTCCTCCTCCAACGCCAGGATGGACTCTGTCTCTTCAAGCGCATCATCATTAGCAGCCTCAACTTGCAAAGCGTCTCCAAGCTCTGGCTTGTCACTTGGCATGCCCTGTTCTGATGGCTTCTTCTCTTCTTCTGAAGCTTCCTCAGGCTTCTCCACGCGGCGGATCTTCCTTGGGGGTGTGTCATCGATATCGATGCAGATGGGCTTCTTGCCAGCTACAAGCTTTGGCCACGGAATGATCTCCTTCTTGACCTTGACGGGCATGCTGGACGCAGCTTCTTCTCCAAGACTCTCGGCCACGCTGACACTTACCTTGGAGGAAGAACACATGCCATCGACCTTGGATTCCTCCTTGTCGTCGTTCTCGTGCAGTTCGGGGAACAGACGCGTATTCTTGACGAAGGTTCTTGTAGGCAAAGCGTCTCCGGTCTTCCCGGACATTGCGGCCTCCATCCAGTTCTTCTCCCACCGCAACTTTGTCTCGAAGTCCGCAGGCAAATCCGTGGCGCCTTTGCGATGGCGGTCATAGATGACACGGGACTCATCCACAAGGAAGTCTGTCTTGTCATTCAAGGGCTTCCTGAGGACCGGCTGCTTGTCTTCACCTGCAGGGCGGATGTACAAGAAGCTCTTGGTGTTCACAAAGAGGTGGGTCCGCTTGAGCACAGCCATGATGTTGCTCTCGTTCACCTCCTTCGCGTACGCTCCAACATCTGCATGAAAGCGGTGTGGCTTATGTAAGATGGTTGCCCTGCCCTCTTGGACACGATGGGCATATCGTCCTCTGGCTGCACACACGGAACTGGCCCTTGACAAAATTTGGCGGCGCCCCACCGTTCTTTGGACATGCTCTCAATGTTGCCCACATCGGTAAAGGCCTTCACCTTCTTGAAGGGTTGCTCGGACAAACTTCCATCATCAAAAATGTCCGGCCGGGCAATTGACCCAGACTGCCCCCTGAAGAAGTCAAACTCAGAGGCTTGACGAAATGATGGTGTGGCCTGCCCATCCTTGCCAAGCTTGTTGATGCACTGCCTGGAGATAGCCATTGCCAAGGTTCTGGCGACCGGTGTCTTGCCCGCCCCAGGCTCACCGTGAAACCAAACAGCCTTCTCAGACAAGGAGGGAACCATGGGCGCAAGAGCTCGCAGCAGCCTGTTATCGATGTCGTACAGAGTCAAGGGCCAGCTCTCATGGACTTGCGCAAGCACGCCATCATTGGCAAGGTTCCTCAAGCTCTTTTCCACTAGAACTGCAGACCATTTGTAGATGGGGGACTCCTGGCGAGAGGTCTGGATGGTAATCCAGCGAAGCTGCTTGTTCTTGACATTGTCGCGCGGGCCGTTTTTCTCGATGAAGTCAAAGCCAATTTCCCCTTCCTCCTGGGTTTTCTCTTTTTCAACTTTGCCGTCCTCCTTGCACCGCAGAGAGTGCTGCTTACACTGGAAGCCGCCCAAGTTCTCAATGACATAGTAGAGGAACTTGCGCGTGGTGTGGACCTGATTTCGCCATGAGACCACGTGTGGCCTGCCATTGGCACAGCTGCCGGGCTGTTGGGACCTTCACTTTGTCCTTCATGTTCATGACCTTGCACACGAGGAACCGGTCATTGTTTTGGGGGAGCACCACGAGGCCGAATGAGAAGCGCAGCTGCGTCTCTGTGGCGACGCCAAAGGGTGCCGGTAGCGTGTGTAGCGGACCACCTGCAAGCAGCATCTCCTTAAGTTGGTCTTTAGGAATCGGCCCTGGGACGTCCGGGACCACGTCGATCACGCACTTGACCATGCCTTGCTCCGGCATATCGTAGATCGGCATGTCCACAAAATTGATGGTGCCCGCCGGGCCATCTTGAAAGATGTAGCTGGACAGATCCGTCAGCTGCATGTTTTCCAGCTGCCCCTGGATGTCGTCCAAGGACACGGTGCCTGGCTCCACCATCTTTCAGAGCAGAGGATTGAGATCACAGAGCTAGAGAGCTTGACCGAAAGCACTTGCAATGGCATTTCAAGTGAAAGTGTTTGGCACCATAGACATACCGCATTAGGAGCCCGACAGGTGTGGTGCAGGAGAGCGCATTAGGAGCCCGACAGGTGTGATGCAGTAGAGCGAAGCAGGCATAGATGCCTGGCAGATGCGATGAAGGGAGGGGCAACTGATAGATGAGATCCTGTTTTTTTTAGCTAAAAAGGTAGGTCATGCAGGGGGGGGTGAGCATATATATATATATAACTGCCAAGGTTTGAACTGGTTTTAACCATGCGCCCTGCCCGGGGCAGCCGAGTCGCTTCAGACGTTGGTTGGGGGCAAATGGGCTGCATAGCCAGCATTGTAGGCGTGAAGAAAGCCGTTGCCAGTGCCAGCAGCTGAAGCAAGCGACCTGGCTCACATTTACAGTGACCGGCAAAATATGTTGTGAGCACTGAGTGCTGCTTGAAGCTTGCCACAGCTCGGCAACCTTTTGCGAGTGGTATGGCTTCTCAACGAAACGACACGTCACTCCCCCTGTGCCCGCAAAAGGTCCAGCGCGGACGCGGAAGGCTGCTGCCAAATGGGAGCTGCCAAGCCACGGAATCGGATCGCCTTCCTGCTGGTGCAACGTGTCCTCCAGGTTCCTTCAAAGCCCTCCTCAGCCAAAGCAACGCTTTTCGGAACCCACATGAAATGCTTCCAGCATAGCGCTGACGCTCCAACATACGTCTTCTACTCGCTCCTGCAAATCAAACAGAGCCATGCCTCAAAATTCCCCTGGCGCCAAGGCTCCTGTAAAGGGTAGAAGTGCCGAATCAGTGACGTCTGCTCATTCTCCGGGATCATTGCCCGAATGTTGAATGCCACAGTCCAATCTTCCAATGTGCTCTCATCCTGAGTTGCCATGCCCCATGCCTCGAAGAAAGCGAGAATGCCAAAACAGCAGTAAGCGGAACACTGCGAACTGGGTCCATTGAATGCCATCCTCAAAAGGCTCTGGAAACTGAAAAGGCTTAAAAATGCAAAAACGGACATAAGGACAAGTGCGCATGCAACCACTTGGGTGGACCTCGGGGGGGAAACAAAGGAAAAAGGCCTGGGCGCTGGGGGCTTCATCCCCGGTGGCCGGCGACTGGTGCTCCAAACCTCGTCCGAGGTCTTGGGATCCAGCTGCGTGGTGCGCCGCGCCGGCACCTGGGCGAGGTCGGGCGGCCGGGCGAGGTCGGCCTCCGGTTTGGCCTCGTTTTACCGGTGTTTCCTAGGCTGGAACTAGGACCCCAGCAAAAAAAAAGCCAGGTTGGTGGAAAACAAAGGGACCAAAAAAAAAGCACAAAACAAAAAAAGGGAAGCTACTTCTGGGGAAGTTTCTCGGGGTTGATTCCTTTTCCATTCTTTTCAACCATCGTTCTTTTCAAAAACTGGATCTGTTTCCCCTGGGTTTTGGACGGCTTCCTGAAAAGAAGGATCCCTGGAAAGAATGGGGAAGGTCCCCTAGAGCCTAGAGGGTGTTTTCCCTTCCCTGCGCTGTTGTTTCTTGGGGTTGGTCGTAGAACGCTGCTTGGACAATGAGAAGCTTGATGTCCATTCTGTGGATTTGAAAGACCGGGTTTGGATCTGAGCGGTTTGCTTTGGATGCCTCTGTTTTTGGTGTGAGTGGCGTTTAGCTTCCTTTTCTTAAAATCGTTTGAAGGGTCCGTTTCGGGGCCACAATAAATACCCTCCAAAAGGTCCAACTGAGAAAAACGAAATGTACGATTCCGCATGGCTTCTTGGAAATCATCTAAGGCAGCTTCAATGCAGTTGGAAGAAATATCATTCCTGTGCAAACGCTACCTTGCACCAATCTGGCCATAATTCCGGGACGCACGGGGAATACAAAGCCGACATATCGCGCACTTCCGCGCAGGGCTTCCCAAAAAAAAAAAGCGCAGGCAGGGCTGGGCGGGCAAACACTTGCAATTGGAGCAAGGAGGTGACAACCCCGATCAGGCAGCGAACTATAGGCCCTAGGCGGAATCCACTAAGACAAGAACGTGCAGCAATGCAGATTGAAACTGACTGGCAGCAAGCTCGGTTCGGAACACACTAGGACATGTTTGGCTACATTGCTACATGTCTTTAGTGATGACTTTCCTGAGCAAGATGATCCTCCCACCCATAGTTAAGAGCATCGGCTCAAACAGTTCCCCTTCCACGAGGGTTTCAAAAGGCCCCAAAAAAGCATGCAGGCGAGCTGTCGAGGGATCAGGCTGACCATGCCCAACAGCCCCTCAAAGCAACAATCGCACCACGCAGCTGGCTGCCAAGCGTCGATGGCTCCGTGATTCACAGTGCGTCCTTAAACACAAGTCGTGGCACAGGCGTGAACCGCAGAGTTATGGGCGCTTGGCACATAATTGGAGCCCGGTCAATCCATGCCAGCACCCGAATACCACCAAGGTTTTCAACCACCAGGTAAACCAGGGCCGTCTATTTTTCTACGAAAACAACCAAAAAGGACACCTATGGTCTTGACATGGCACCTGAAACCCAAGAGGGCCACACTACACACAAACACCGACATGACATACCTCGCCGGGGGGCTGTTGTTCATGGCAAGCATTCCGCCTCGAGCACCCGCCATGGCTCGCCGAGCCCCGAAGGCCAAGCATCACACCAAAGCAAAACTGTGGCACAGCTTCCAAAAGGCTGCCTGCCACAAGCTGAGAAGGTTGAGGTTCTCGCTCAGCGACACATGCAAAATCCAGGGGCTAGGTAAAGATGGCAGACTGCAATGACTTGGGTCCAAGCCGTGTGCCGCCCTTCAGAGGCGAGGTTAGATCGCATGCGTCCTTTTTTGGCTTGAGCCTGTTATCGATACCAAGGCCGACCACAGAACGCCCATTTTGACGAAGCCAACTCACTCAAACAAGTCGCAGCAGCCTAAGGGGAAGGCTCGTCGACCACGACTCTGCCTGCCCATTTGCACCAGAAACCTTGCATCGGAAGCCATGCAAAAGCTCAACCCCACGCCTTCGAGATTTCTCAGCTGCCAGCATGGGAGCATCCACCTGCAAGGCAAGGGCCCAAATCGCAAGGGCAAGGAAACCAATGACCTCACCACCGTGTCAACTACATCTGGGAATCTGTGGCTTGCTTTCCAAAGCTCTCAGCTGAAGCTTTCCCCTCGCCTGTGACGCCTGTGCCTTCAGGCCAACGGCGTCCTTCGCGGCCGCTTTGTCCGCAGCCTCTGCTTTGGCCGCGGCGGCTTCTGCTTTGGCTCTGGTGGCTAGCTCAGCGCCCTTTGGAGCCTCGGCGTTTGCCTTGGCAGCTTTCGCTTCTTTGGGGGCTGCTTTGTTGACCTCGTTGCAGGCTGCTTTGGCTGCTGCTTTGGCCTAACCAGGCATGTGGTGGCATGACTACAGCACCAACAGCTCGCGTTCCCGGAACGTTTGCAACTAAGGGAAGGGCCAATGGGCAAAAGCCAAACAGGCGCAACGGTTTGTCAATGTTCCTGCCAGCTGAGGCTTAGGCAGCTACAGCTGGATGGGATGGCTTGACCTGGCAAGCCAATCAAGTTTCACAGCCACGGCTTCGCAAGCGGCGAAAGAGCGAGATACACACACACACACAAGCCCCACCCCGGCCGTTTGCCCCGCTGCCAGCAAACCACGAAGCAGGCTGGGCGTGCCTCTGGTGGCACGGCAGCTGGCTGGACCTTGAATGCGGCTCCGGTGGAATGCCAGCCCATGACGTCTATGCCAGGCATGCAGAGATGCTAGCTTTTTGAGACTATGGACAATAGGAAGCCAAGGTATCAAAGGGCACCAAGTAGCTTGGCCAGCACGTTTGATACTTGCCTCCAAGGGGCAACGTGGTCGTCCTGGAAGGATAGATCCGATGGGATCACAACACCTGCAATCCCAAAGCCGTCAGGCAGCCTTTGGGGCTTGCTGGCTTCTTCGGGTCCACTGCAGATGCTTTTCTAAACAGGAAGTATGTATCGAGTGCACATGTAGGTGGGCTGTAGGTGGACACTTGTTTGTGCAGGGGCTTGCTGTGAACACCACACATTATGAAATGCAACGCGCGCAACAGAAAACTAGTTGTGGAAAGGGAGACTGCTATCTGTTGCAATCGGCTGATCCACTATCTGCCGGGGGGGGTGTTGGAGATGGCTACCGAAACAGCGGGTTTCTGCCGCCAAAGTCTGCCCTCCCCGCAGCAACTTTCCCCTTTCATTCAAGGCGCCTGCTTTCAGTTCAAGCCCATTTCTCTGCGACTCATTGTCACAAAGGAGTCCACTTTGGAAGGTCATGTTCAGGTCAGAGTTGATTTTGAGCAAAATCGCAGAAATCAGCACGCGAAGCGTTTTGAAGTCCAGCGCCGTCTCTCTGGGTGCATTTGACTAAGGAGCAGTCTTCCCGCACGGCGAAACGCTCATTTCTCACATGTGTGTTCCCCTCAATTCTCACGAGTACACTCATGTCTCACAAGTCAAATGTGCCGGCGTTTCCACGTTTCTCCGCGGTGCCAACAACACATGTTGGGCGTGTGAGAACTGAGGCAGGTCGGGTTTAAGGATTTGTTTTACGGTTTTTAGAGCTTGGGTTCAGGTTTTTCGAGTTTAGCTTTGGGGTTCAAGTTTAGCGTTTTTATGGTTTTTGGTTTGGGGGGTTGTTCGGGTTAGGTTTTTTGGGTTTTAGGTTGCTTTGTGTTTTTTAGTGTTTGGGTTCAGGGAAAATAGAGTTCCGTTTTCGGGTTTTTGGCTCAGGGTTTCTTTGTGCGTTTTGGTTTATATACCGGAATTTAGGGGACGGCTTCTGGGGTTCAGGGTTTTTAGGGATAGGTTTAAGGATTCTTACGGATTCTTAGGGATTAGGTTTAGGGCTTGTAGGGTTTGGGGCGGTTGGGTGTTGGGCTTTTAGGGGCTTAGGTTTGGGGTTGTTAGGGTTTCTCTCTCTCTCTCTCTCTCCAGCATCCTCGAGCAGGATGCTGGTTGTTCGGGTTTAGGTTTAGGGTTTCTAGGGTTTGGGGCATTTTGGGTTCTTGGGGTGTAGGTTTTGGGATTTTGGGCTTTCTTCGGGTTTGAGGCCATCAGCGAAATCGCATCCGAAGAAAGCCTGGATCTATGGATGTACGAGAGGTCCATGCATGTTGAACTGTAGATGGATGGGTGGGAAGGATGAGTGGATGGATGGATGGCCCAAAAACACCGTAGTAAAAGAAAAAAAGAAAACTGAAAAAGAAGAAAAAAGCAAGAACAAAAAAAACAAAAACGACTCGTGAGAAATGAGCAGATATGAGTCGTGAGAAATGAGAAGATATCACTCGCGAGAAATGAGGAGATGTGACGCGTGAGGAACGAGGGAATTGGACTTGTGAGAATTGAGTGCGCTTCCGCATGCACGTCCCTAACTCAAACGTCTCTTTCCCTCTCTAGTGCTGACATCTCCTTCTCTTGCTTTTGCTTCTGACCTGCGCCGCCTCGCCAGGCTGACCCTCGGGACCGCACCTGCTGCGGCCAACTCGGCGGCCGCCCACTTCTCGATTTCCAGAGCCAGCGCCTGGAGCTCGTGATGCAAGGCTCGGCCAAGATTTCCCGTGGGGTTCCCGGAATCGGTCCGGCAAATGAAAGCTGGGCGAACATCCCAAAAGGCCATCCCCACCACTGTCGAGATTTCCCCATGTCGCTTGAAAAGCGACTGCTTGGAGCTTTCTTCTCTGCAAGCCTTGGGCTTCATGACCATGGCAGCTTCCCATCTGACCTCGAAACCCTGTCCTTGTTGGGGCCTAGGTCCAAGCCGTTCTTCTCCCGACTTCGAAGGGCAATGCTGTGTCTCACCAAGCGCACCTCGAATGAGCTACCACAGCAATTGTCTTGCATATCTTAGCACTGATGGGCCACTAAAAGCACACCGCCCTACCGCACCTTGCAATGGGAATCCTGATGGCTCAAAAACACATGCGCGGAGTGGATACGTCTCTCACATCAGACACCAAATGCCAGCAGGCTGCGGCGCAAGAAAGCTTCTTGATGCCAAGGCTTTTGTAGTAAAAGCCTCGGATACACAGTCTGCAGGGATGTTCTCAAAGCGGACCATCTGTATAGTACAGTATTGTCTTGGATGCACACTGGAATCGTTCACTACCAGTATTAGCAATGACGGGACCTTGCTTCCCAAGCTCTTGCTTGCGTAGCGACAAACCTATTGCTGACGTGGGAGGATGGCCTTGCTTGCTGCATGTTCTGGTGATGTGCTGAATGAATGCCCGCCTTGATAGAAGTGCACTGCTTGTGGTGCCTCTTGCAGCTCCTTTCCCGCCAACCAGCCAAGCAAGATAATTGGCTTAGAAGAGTCATGCACTGCGGCGCTCCATAGCACGACGCGGCACAATAAGACACAATTAACCAGACACCCCTGCGCACAAAAACATGAAACAACTAATCACACACACACACAACTACACATCAAAACAAAACTGCTGGCACTACCTTTCTAGAACAGAACCGCATGATTCTGCTCGCAACCAGCCAGAACAACCTTCAAGACTCGTTCCCATGAAAAAGGACCCCTCCCCAGGAAAACAAAAACGGCAAGAACAGCCAGCATGGTTCAAAAGTTGTTGGTCGTCGCTGGCTTGGTCTTCGACCATCACTGCAGCATTTAACGGGGGCGAAGTTTCACCTCCAGGAGCCGGACTGCGATTGCGCTCCAGCGACTTCCAACCGCAAGGATCGGCCTCGGCCAAAGTATCCGACCTTGAGGTCTTGCGACACTGCACTAAACCCGCCACACGCATTCCCTGCCTGTTAGTTCCGAAACCCTCCCCCCCAGCAGCAGCCCTCCCTGTCCCCCAAACAACGCAAAAGCTGCGGCCACTCCGTCGCGCTGGCGCGGGCCTTCACTTCTGCCAGGACCACCTCGGTGCTCTGCCGCGCTGCAGCGTAAGAGCCGTCCGGGGGCCGCTGTGTGGCCACGATGGCCTGCCAAGCAACTAGCGAATGCCCCAAGCTTTGTCAACGTGCGCACCTCAGAGGGGCACCTTGGGGGGCACCTTGGGGGGCACCTTGGGGGGCACATTGGGGGGCACCTTGGGGGGGGGCAACTTGGGAGGCATGTCAGGCAGACTAATGGGTTGGAGTGTTGGTGCGGGTCATTCCGCATAACCATCGCATGGGAGGCGGCGGGTGAGGCTGATGAGTTTCGCTCCTGGCTGATCGCTGACGCCGCGCTTGCGCGGCACTCCCTCTCGGCTTTTCAGACTGTCAGTGGCTTCAAGGATAAACTCAGCAAAGCAGGATTTCACCAAGTTCTGTCTGACGGACTCAGGGGAGTAACATTGCAAGGGTTTCGCCCATGAGTGTGGGAGCCATGGGTTGCATGATCTCTTGTTTTTGAGCTCCTTTTCGTTTGTCAACTATCGGCTGCTTGCAATTGCATTGGCATGCTTTCCCCCACATGCTAATGCCGGCATGCACATCTCAAGGTTTTGGCTTCACAACCCTGAACCTTCCTAGAAGGCCTAATCGTGGAGAGGCTCATCTAAAACAAGCAGTCGAGCGAAACTAGGCCTAACAAGGCCTTTGTCTCGAGGTGGCTTCCCCCGACTGTTTCGTCCGCGGCGCCTCTATGCGATGCAAGTCATCCATGGCATAAGTCGCCTCAAAAAAAACACGTCCGGTGGCATCTATCCATCTGAGTGCTACCGGAAACCCATGAGCGTACCCTCCCCCAGACGATCCCGAACGGACCCCGAAATAGAAGACTGGGCAACCCATTTTCTGAGACCTTCTGGAACCTTCCACCTGGGAGCTTCCGGCTGTGGAATCTCGGGAGCTCAAACCCAACGTGCAGCTCGGGAGCTTCCAGGAGGGACATTGGCAAGTGCAGCGCCCGTCGGTTCTGCGAGTGGTGCGCGTGCCAGTCAATCCTCACGCGAGCGTGCCATGTCTTGTACCTGCCCAAATTCATGTCTTGCCCCCTTCAAAGGAAACACAACTGAAGAAGAAATTGAAAAGACGGGTGGGGCACGCTGCTACTTGAGATAACTGGCTCTGTGCTTGCTGAGGTGCTGCTTCTTGTCCGGCAAAGCTGCCTGCAAGTTTGGCGGCCTCAGCGCTTGCTTCGCTGGAGTTTGTCAACTCACACATGCCGCTTGAGCCACGAACAAACCCAGGAATCCCCCCGATCACTCGGCGTTGTTTAGCCATTGTCTGGAATGCTTCTTTGAGTTTGGACTTGGGTTTCTTGCTTACATGCTGTACCCAACTCACGATTCCACAATAGCTCAGCGAATGGAAGCACCCAGCAGTGTTGTGAAGTGAAATTGCAAACCGGCCCAAGGCCCCACCTTTAGAAACCCACAACAAAACCAAGGAGAGGTGTGACCGACTCGCACCGGGGAATCTGAGCCCAGCGCAGTCTCTCCAGCATCCGAGCCATGCCCAGGCGCCGGTCCCCATTGGAGAAGGCCAGCTGCACGTCGGTCACTGCCTTGCGGCTCGCTTCCCTCCATTTGGAGGAGGGACCATGGGGGGGGGGGAAGGCACCGCCCGAAAACGGGAAACACCTGGGCCCCAAAAGGGAACGCGCACAAAACGCAGCCCCAAATGCCAGCGCTGTCGCGCTATGCTGTAAATAGACAACAGCGGCGTGACAAATTTGAAACTTGCCTGCCCTGGAGCCAAGCTACATTAGAGGCACAATCACTCTGCTTTGCCTTAACCACTGCAAAGCATGGTGCCAACATGCCTACGGTACTCATTCCCTTGTGAACTGGCTGTCAGCCGATAGGCAGCTAGGCACAACTCCAGCCTTCGGATCGACCTTGAGAGAGATCGGGATCTCCTGAGCAAAGACTTCCAAGACCTTTGATGCCCGTCTCTTAGCAAGAAGTGGGAGGGGGCAATTTCAACTAAGCCTTCAAAACTATGTCTTGAAATTGCTTCTGACGTGCAAGCAGAAACTTGAGACATGCTGGAATCAGGATACCCCAGATCTGCCCCTATTCTGAATTGAGTCGGCTCATGGCTCCAGAAAAACAGCCTCAACTCAAGCGACTCCTGGTGCATCAAGCTCTCAAAGTCAGCATCTGCACCCCACATCCTTGGAGGTCACTTTCGCTCGCGCGCGCGCTCTCTCTCTCTCTCTCTCTCTCTCTCTTGCGCGCTTGATTGTTGCGCTCACTCTCCGGGCTGGCTGGATGGCATGGTTCATGTGCAAAAGCTCGCATGTCACATAATCAACGACAGCCCGTCCCGTCCTGGACCTGTTTCCCAAGCAAATAGTGCAGGACTCTCACCGACAAGTGGAAAGCTGGCGGAATTCTGACTTACAAACAGCTCAAGAGTGACACTCTCTGGACCCCTACGCTACGCCTTTGGCTGAAACCTAGATGCGCCGCTGGCACGTGCACAACTACGTGTTCAAGACTTGCTGCTCTGGACTGAAGCAGCACAAGCTGTGCACAAGCGTGGCAAGTTGAACTCCTCTCCACGTGCCTTCGTGAACATGTTCGCTCAAAAGCTGCCATTTGAACTGTAAATGCGAGCAAATGCACCCAAACGAACATTCGGCTAGGAGCCAGCAAAGCCAATCCGCAGCTGGTTGGATGAGATACTCCAGCACGAAAAGTCAGACAAAACAGCGTCAACGGGTTTCCAAGCTGATGCATTTGCTGCCAGGCTTGCAAGTTACCATGCTGCCATGTTACTGATGGCACAATGATTGTTTCTGACGCGCCATTTTGAATTTGAGAATTGCGCCCTAATCAGACACCGTTTTGACCGCCACCATCACTACCTGGCATCGCTTAGCTTGCTTGTTGCTGCCCAGGGAGTGTACTTCTGTCCGACTCCTTTGAATTTGCGGTGGGCTTAACATCAAACTGGCATTCAATCGTGACAGCTATCATAAACCTGGCTCCTGCGCCTGGTGCGTCGCTGCCTTTGATTCTTGAATAGCTTTTGTAGCATGACTCCACTTTCAAAAGGTTGTTGGTTTTGGTGACACGTCCTTTTGGGGGGAATGATAACCACGGAGGCGGTGCTGCGCAATCTCACGGGAACCAGACACAGGCGCTCCAGAGACGTTGCTCTTCACGGGCAGAACTGCGGCTTAGGTCCCCTTCGGTTCACGGCAATAGGGAGCTAGCACACGCAGGCCTGTTTTGCCACGGTGCTCAGGCTTCGTGTACTAGGCTTCTTGTGAGGAAACACATCCAGGTGCATTACGTGTCGCATGTTCGGTCGCGTAAGACGAAAAGGAACCCGTCCGTAGGCGGCTTGCTGTTTGTGGCACTCAAGTTCTTGGCGCTCGCGTCGCCTGAAGGCCTTTCCACTCCCGCAAACAAAGTCACGTCGTCTGGTGAATGGCCGCTTGTGGCAGGCTCAGAGCGCGTGAAGACAGCGTGAAAAGTTTTGAAGCTGCCTGGACGGCACGCGGAGCTTGCAAAGTCGGTGTAAAACGTTTTGATTAGCCGAGATGGTGACACTGCGTGGTTCGAGCGCACGAAGACCATCTGACGTGTTTGTGCGCTGCTTTCATGCCTCGGCAGGAGGCACGTGCTAGCGAGAGAGCAGGCACATCAGGCACTGCAAGCGCCATACAGTCCCAGTGGCACCTTTGTGATGGTGGGGCTCTCCATGAGCGGCCTGAAGGCCCGGATGCCTGGCGCACACTTTGAAACTAAGCCTGCTCCACACACACACACCACACACACACACACGCACGCACGCACACACGCACGCACCGGCACGCACACGCACGCACCCGCGTCCGCACCCGCACCCGCACCGGCACGCACGCACGCACCGGCACCCGCGTCCGCACCCGCACCCGCACCCGCACCCGCACCCACACCCACACCCACACCCCCCCCACACCCCGCCACACCCCCACACCCCCACACCCACACACCCACACACCCACACACACCCGCACACCCGCACACCCGCACACCCGCACACCCGCACACCCGCACACCCGCACACCCGCACACCCGCACGCCCGCACGCCCGCACGCCCGCACGCCCGCACGCCCGCACGCCCGCACGCACCACACCCCCGCACGCCCGCCCGCCCGCCCGCCCGCACGCACACGCACGCACGCACGCACCCACACACACACCCACCCACACGCACGCGCACACGCGCACGCACACGCACACGCACACGCACACGCTCACGCACGCACGCACGCACGCACCCACACACACACACACACGACGCACGCACGCACGCACGCACGCACGCACGCACGCACGCACTCACTCACGCACTCACGCACGCACGCACGCACCCACACACACACACAGACACACAGACACACAGACACACAGACACACAGACACACACACACACACAAACACACACACCCACCCACCCACCCACGCACGCACGCACGCACGCACGCACGCACGCACGCACGCATGCACGCACACACTTAAATCCCACAAGGGGTAGACACGAAGTTCGAGTAAATCAAGCAAGAAGGAGAGGGGCAGATTCGAGACAGGCTTACGTGTGTTCTGAAGCAAAAGCAGAAACACCACAGAACCAGAGCCAGTGGTCATGCAAAAGCAACAAAGTCCAACATCAAAAGCAGGCACGTTACCAGGCGTCCCTGGTGATATCCTCAGGCCACTGTAAAGAGCTTTGTTTGATGGAGCTCCAAAGGCCTGCTCCATCCCCCTGCTACAACTTGTGAAATGGTTCCAGGGTAAATGTGGAACTCGGCACACACATGCCCTGAATGCACATGTTTTCCGGGAAGAACGGGCAGGTCAGCACGACGGCAGTTCAGGAGCCAAAATAGCTGAGGCATCCAGGTGATCTAGAACGGACTCCAGAAGTCAGGGCGTCCTCAGGTGTCGGGGCTCCGCGCTCACAATCATGAGGCCTCAGGGCCCGACGCCAAATGCCGCGAGAAGATACCAGTTACGCCGGTAGGGGAAGGGCAGCATGCTCAGGGTTGCCAAGGGGTGACACCGAAATCCGTGTTGCAGTCGGTTGCGAGGTAGGTGCAGCTGCCGCCGCCACTGCATCAACATGAACATGATGAACACGAGCTTGATCCTGAGGCACATCCAGCATAAAAGGCGCGTGTGGATCCAGGTTGGTGTCAAAGGAGTCCTGTTTCGAAAGAACACGTTGAGACCCTTGACAGCGCCAATCTTGCAACTTCCCAACGTAGTACCACCGTACGTAAAGTGGGCTGCCCTCATCTTCACCTGGAGTGAGTCATACGCGATCCAGTGTTTGCCCCACGTCCGATACGTGTTGCCATCCATGGGTGGCAGTTCCTGGGTTCCATCAAGAATGACTGGTTCATCAGGGACAAAGATCTTGACCCAATCTTCCCCCGCATAGTGACTTAGTTCAACCCAAGGGTGTGATGTCGTGGATCGAGGTTGTTCATCGTCAGGATGATCCAAGTCCATGTGGGCGTCTGGTAAGACACTACGCACCCGAAAGCAGCTGAACACGAGCCTCAAAGCATGTGATTCAAGACAAGCACAAGCAAAGCAACGAAACCGAAGCACAACCCAGTTTTCGGCTGAGACCTCATACATCCGCTAACGACTCAAAAACAGGCCGCGTAGGAGAGCCCAAGGTAGTAGTCCGACAAAGCGGCGCATATCGCGGAGAGGCAGCGTTGTCCATGTCAGGCGGTTCTGCGTCATAAGGTGCAGGACGATTGCCAGAGCGAGATGTCTCAGTGTCACTGTTGGGAGGCGCTGTTGACTGGTCCAGTCTCTTCAATACCATACTGGTTGCCGGTCAGTGTTGCCATCCGGTGGTGGTTCACATTTCCACTCGCGATTCGTGTGAGACGTTCCAATCACCCAGGGTCCAGGCTCAAAGATCTTGATCCATTGATGTTGAGGTTGTAGAGGATCCGGGCACCACTCCACCCACGGCATGCCGAAGACTACACACTAAACAAGTTTCAGTCACACTGCGGCGTCAAGCAAGAAGCCAGGCAACGGATGCGTAAAAACCATTGGAATGCAGCAACTACCGACAACCGCAACAAGGTGGTGATAAAATAACCATGCAACCTGCATATCAGAACTGCCATGCAACTTACCTTTTTCTGTCACGATCATCAATTCCAATCAAACTCCGAGTCAGATAGCGCTCCCTTGCTTGAAACTGGTCCCAGGGTGCATCTGGGACTCCACACGCACACGCACGCCCCCGAAGGGGCAGTTTTCACCGCGCAAAGAGCTCCGAGCCGCGGGCGTGAACATGGGTGCTCCCTCACTGGGCGTTGTTCAGCCACACATCCCAGGTCAAATACGAAAAGGAGGGGGGAGCTCCATACTCCATCAGGCACCGAAGCATCCAAATGTGCAGGAGGCGGGGTGGCAACTGGCACATCAAGCCGTGTGGGCAAGCAGACGGACAGAGGCATTGCCACCCGACGGTGGTCCACTCTCGATAGTACCAAACTGGTGCATGGTCATCCAACCATGTAGCCGTGAGTAGCCAGCTGTCTCCAGCTTATCACCCTCCACTGAGAGTGAACCCACTGGTGAAACCAGAGACCAAGCTCCTTCTTCCAGTCCGGTACACATGGAGGAGGAGGTAGCATGAGCGACCTTGTGCGAGGAGGAAGGGAGTGCGAACGAAAGCGAATGTGAAAAGTACACCCGCACCCATTCAGTTGGCTCACGATCATCCTCCATGCGATAGTACTCGACAAAGGGAGCAGTGCGCGACATGGCAGAAAGACAGGAACGCAATATGACACGAAATGACACTCACCAATGGCTCAAACTACAGATCAGATCATGACGCAAACAAAGCCCTCAACACGAGACGGAATGGACAACATGGAAGAGTGAACAAAGTCTATTTCCTCAAGCATACTCCATGAGTCCCGAGCTGCTTACATATTCAGAGATCGTTGTTGGTCAACTGCTGGTAGATGGACCATGCCAAGCGCGCGACCTTCTCCTGAATGCCACATCTGGATGCCAGCGATTTGTACGAGCGAGCTTTGGTGTCCTTCTTGAACGTCGTAAATTGCTTGAGCTGATCTTGTGTTCAATACTGAAAATCTTCGCCAAGCTGGACTTCCATATGAGTGTTGAATGTCTGGATCAGCGTAGTGGGCTGAATAGGGTTCGGCATAGCTGGCGGAGTGCCTGGAGAAGGAAGAAGATCTGCGTCACGCTCCAGTTCAGGATGTACTGGTGCAGCATTAGGATGAGATGGCATGTCATCAGATGATGGCAAAGGCGACGGCGTAGGAGATCTTCCCAAGATGTTGCGAGGCCGGTACGGTGGTTCAGGATGATGGGTGGTTGCATCCATGAACTCTGCGAGGAAGAAGGTGTAGTCGTCGTTGAAGGCGTTTGAGCAAAGTCAGAGAAGTGGGAGCACGTAGAGCACGCTGACGAAAGTCCGTGCGGTTCTCGTGAAATCCCACCATGCTGCGTTGAGTTGCGGCTTAAGCGTGTACTGCCAAGTGCTTTCAATTGCCCATAACTGTGATGCAGGAGATACCAACTCGACCGGCAACGGCGAGAACAGCCAATAAGTGTTGGTGCGATGCCAGTACTGAAACGCTGGCTCAAAATAGGCATGTTGAGAACGTAGTAGTTGTTGAAACTTGCGAAACCTAGAGTGTTCACGTTGAAGAATACTCTTGGCGGTGGCTCCCACATAGATCGGAGAATGAAAAGGAGAAACTCGAACATAAACAGCAGGTTGAGAGGAACTGATCGGATCAGTGGCGGATCCCCGCAGATCACGAATTTTTGAGATCAGTAGCTGCGCTTGCTTCTGCGACATATACTCGGAGTACACAATCTGCACCAGCAAGGTGATTTTGTAGAATAAGCGCATTTCCATGATATCCGGAAAATAGCCAACAGTGAGGACTGCAGCCCGTTGAAGCAGGGTGAGCAGCACGTAGCAGGAAAGGCGTGCCTTGTGGAGCATAAGAGTGTGATCGAAGGTGAGATGTGTGTCCAAAATCGCGTTCATGAAGATCAAGAACCATACGTACCAAAATCAGAGACGACGATGCCACTTCATGTTCGGTGACTCGGCGTAGTACGTCAAGTTCGTGATCAGGCGGTAGAGGAACATGTGTAGTCAGTGCCACACAGCAGCTGTGCTCAAGGGTCTGATGTAATGGATAAAGAGTTTGAGGAATCGGGCGTGTTGCTCGCACATGTCGATTGGAGTCATGTTGTTTCTGCTCTTGTCAGATTGAGTTTATTTATACACTGTGGCTATAACGCAAAGACATGATTCGCACAGACTCATCAAGCACACATGCACATGAAAGCCTCGACTGCACTATTTTCCACTGAACCGTTCCTAACGTCCAAAGCACTCACAGAGTCAAGCTCAGACTGGTTCCTCAATTGCCCGCTGCGGACGTGTTCGATGGCTGAACAAGTTTGGTAAGCAGTCGAGCTCCAACAATCAACACTGCGAGTGGCTTGTCATGGAGTTTAGTGGCGTAGATCGGCTCGGCCCCCCACATGGACGCCATTGCTGACAGGGATCACCCTTTGGGGTCTTGTTGTAGGTCTGGAAAAAGAAAGTGGTTGACCTTGGGCTCAAACTCTTTCTTGGTGAGCGGTGATTCACGGTCCGTCAATCTCGGGACGAACCAGTTGACCAATGGCGCCATCGTAGAGCTAGAAGGGGCACTGTGACGTAGCGGTCGTGTAAAGGATGAGTTCCACGTGTAGTAGTCAATCAACTCCAATGGTGAGCTGGCTTGATCAGGATGATCAATCCTTGGCCGCTTGTGTGTCTCCCCACGATTGGCCATCCTTGGCTGCGGCGCTGACGGTTGACAATGAGGATGACGACGGAGGCGAGGTGTTCATAGGCTTGGTCGATGACATAGGGAGTGGTTTCCATAGATGCGTCGGTCGGTTTGTTCTGCGAGTCAAGCTGGGCTTTGAGCACGGTGTTGTCACGGGTGAGCGCTTGTACTTGTGCAAGAAGACCACTGTCAGGATTGGTCGGATGGTATTCCTGCTGGGCACGGGAAAGCGCATCAACGATCTTCACGGAGAGATGCTCATGGACTTTGATTCGTTGACCAAAATCATTGATGTCACAACCAAGGAAAGCGGCGGCCTTGTCAAGCTGAATGATGTCCACGGAGCGCCCTGACCGTAATGTTTTGGATGTGGTGCCCCATAGTAATGCTTCTGCTCTGGATCGGAGTCCTTCCCAAGTGACAAAGCGTCCGTGACTCATGGGCCGGAGGAGCCGTCCACGGTGTATGACCTGGATTAGCTTGATGTCCTCCAAGCGAAGGCCGCCGATGCCAATGGACTGGGTATAGGGTGTGTTGGCAATTTTGTCCGGAAGCGAAAACTGGTACACCTCACGTGTGTCGCGGAAACCTGGGGAGCTGTTCCATTCCGCTCAAGTCCGAGTGATCCAAGCGGAAATCAGCGAACGGCACTAAGGGAGAAGCAGTATCACTGAGGTTAGTGTCTCTGAGGTGAGTATATCTGAGGTTACCGTGAAACGACTGAGGATCCTGACTCCGCTAAAAAGCGGGCCCGCGGTCACTCTCTGGGTACTCGCGAGGATCTCCCTCTCGGGATGTCACACTTAAATCCCACAAGGGGTAGACACGAAGTTCGAGTAAATCAAGCAAGAAGGAGAGGGGCAGATTCGAGACAGGCTTATGTGTGTTCTTGAAGCAAAAGCAGAAACACCACAGAACCAGAGCCAATGGTCATGCAAAAGCAACAAAGTCCAACATCACAAGAAGTTGTGGCTCAAACTGAAAGCAGGTACGTCACCAGGCGTCCCTGGTGATATCCTCAGGCCACTGTGGAGAGCTATGTTTGATGGAGCTCCACAGGCCTGCTCCATCCCCCTGCTACAACTTGTGAAATGGTTCCAGGGTAAAACTGGAACTCGGCACACACACACACACACACCCACCCACCCACCCACCCACGCACGCACGCACGCACGCAAGCACGCAGGCACGCAGGCACGCACGCACGCACGGACGCACGCACCCACGCACGCGCACACACGCACACGCACACGCGCACGCACACGCACACGCACACGCACACGCACACGCACCCGCACCCGCACACGCCCGCCCGCGCACGCACGCGCACGCGCACGCGCACGCACACACGCACACACGCACACACGCACACACGCACACACGCACACACGCACACACGCACACACGCACACACGCACACACGCACACACGCACACACGCACACACGCACACACGCACACACGCACACACGCACACACGCACACACGCACACACGCACACACGCACACACGCACACACGCACACACGCACACACGCACACACACACGCACACACGCACACACGCACACACGCACACACGCACACACACACACACACACACACACACACACACACACACACACACACACACACACACACACACACGCAATCTGTCCCGGCCCAGCACAAGTGGGCAACATGCCTTCAAGTTTGCACTACAATTCCTGCCAAACCGCTGCGAAGACAGGTTAGAAAATCATGCCAGTGGGGCAGGCATCGCTGCGGAGGTCGATGAGGAGGCCGAGCCTGGGCCAGGAAACGTGCTAGGCAAGATTTTGCAAATACGTCTGCGGCTGCCTCATTGGGTGTGGCTCAAAATTCAACAGGAGAGGTTACGCAGGTTTTGGTACATGTCCGCTTACCAGGGTTCCATTTTGGGTACCGGTTTTTTGAGCCACAGCCACTTGTGCACATATAGTATGTCTTGGGTCCCTTTGCGGGGAACAACTTCAACTGATGGCCTCACCCAAGTTGAAATGCCTCTGCCCAACTGACCTTCTCGCAAGCCTGGCAAATCCAAAGCCGAGGGGCGGGAAATGCGAGTACCGCACCCTCAAAGGTCTCAAGTAACCGTCCACGACCTGACGCTGGCCAGGCGCCATTCGACTGGCTGACGCATCTCCAAGAAACCACGTGGCTGAATGATTGGCCTGCCCCTGTCTCGCTTGTAGCTACAAAACAAACCCATTAAAAAAATGCTCTCTCTCTCTCTCTCGGAACGCACAGCGCCGAATATACATCCAAGATGCCCATGTCTCCAACAGCGCAGCTGTGCTCAACTCGCCGCAGTACCTCGCAGGCATGTACAAGCTCATGCTTGTCTGTTTGTTCACATCCCCACCGTCTGAGCTGCACATGCTTTGCATCACGCCGTGCACAGCCACCAGCCCAAAGTCAGCTTTGAGCATGCGACACAGCAAGTCGCCCTATGCATTCACCAGTGCTCAACCTCATCGCCTTACAAGCCTTACATGCCCAATGTAAGTTCAAAAGGACAGGTGAAGCCAACGGTGCCCCACACTGTCCCACATTATGAGCAGCTGGTCGCACCCCAGCATCTCCCCCTCAAAATCTGCCAGGATGAAGCTCCGCGCCGCACTGCCTAGGGCAAACCACAATGCAGCTTCGATACATATCAAGGCTGTCGCTAGCTGCACTGCCGCACTTCACCTACGCATCGCTGCCTCCATCATAGACAACACATTCCAGCAGGAAAGGCGCCAATGAATGACTCGCAGCCCAGGCACAGCCCTGGGCATAGGCCACCAACAGCTGCAGCAGCGTGGAAAGTTCGAAGGCACTTGGTGCACGAACTCCCTCCAGCAGCCCTAGCACGCTCGGAAGAGAACAAGAGTGATTGTTGCTTGCGTCGGTGTGTGCGCGTCCGGGCTCCATTGGATCACAGGCGGAATTCCCTTGAAGCCTGCTTCAGAGATCACCAGGAAGGGGCAATTCACGGAGCTAAAGGCGATGAAGGGCTGCCTCAGATACCCAGTGGTCAAACGAGCCAAGACTCAATAACATCAGCTGGGTGTTAAAGAGCTAGGGTTACGCAGGTCTTAGTCGTTGGTTCCATTTACCAAGGTGCCATTTTGGTACATGTTTTTGAGCCACAGCCAGCTAGCAAGGGGCATTCTAGTTAAAAACCACGGGTGTTGGTAGCCCGGGGTTCCCCTGTAAAGGCAACCGACTGCCTTCTGAGGCGCATCATGTGGAAGGTCTTGTCGAGATCCCAATCCACACCTAGCCATCAGCCCTCTCAGGAGTCAGCAATCTGGTCACTTGGAAACCTTCAGTTTCGTCCCCTTGGCCAGGTTCCACCCCAGCACCAGTTTCCATCATGTGCCTCCACGTGCTCCCATGGCGCCTGCCATATGCATGAAATGCTCCACGGAGACACGGGCATCGCTTGCAGGAAAGGTGAAGTCATACTGGGGCTCCTGAGCAGACGTAGCTAGGCACAAGTCCGCATGTTGCTGAGGCCCTTGCGCAAAAAATGAATGTACACGCACATGGACATGCAAGGTTGCACAAGCATGTTTCCGTCAACGGGCCTTTGTTCAGCATATTCAACCTGCCAATACAACTGCCTACGCGTATGCCAATGTGCTTGCGTGTTTTTGTTCTTGTGTGTGTGTGTGTCTTTGCTTATGCATTTATACTTCTACGTGTACATGTGAACCTATCGGCGAGTGCATGTATGTATACGTGTATGTATGTATGTATGTATGCATGTATGTATGTATGTATGCATGTATGCATGTATGCATGTATGCATGTATGCATGTATGTATGTATGTATGTATGTATGCATGTATGCATGTATGCATGTATGCATGTATGCATGTATGCATGTATGCATGTATGCATGTATGTATGTGTGTATGTGTGTATGTGTGTATGTATGCATGCATGCATGTATGTATGTATGTATGCATGTATGTATGTGTGTATGTGTGTATGCATGCATGCATGCATGCATGCATGCATGCATGCATGTATGTATGTGTGTATGTATGTATGTATGTATGTATGTATGTATGTATGTATGTATGTATGTATGTATGTATGTATGTATGTATGTATGTATGTATGTATGTATGTATGTATGTATGTATGTATGTATGAAATGTATGTATGTATGTATGCATGCATGCATGCATGTAGGTAGGTAGGTAGGTAGGTATGTATGTCATGTATGTATGTCATGTCATGTCATGTCATGTATGTATGTATGTTAGGTAGGTAGGTAGGTAGGTATGTATGTATGTCATGTATGAACGCATGATTGTGCTTGTGATTGCCTATTCATACCCAGTGTTAACGTGGTGCTTCTCGGTGGGAAGAAGGTAGATCCAGTCGACCCTGCATCAATATCAAGCCTGATGCAAACTGCGACTCTTCACAAAGCTTGGGGCCTTGTCAATGCGCCAGCAGCTGGTCGCGCTGTACTTGGTGCTTTTCCTGGGCTTTCTCATAACAGTGCTTAACAGCAAGGGGCCTTGATCCAATGTTCGCTCATTTCAAGCGCCTGAGCATGCTGCTGGTCAGCCATAAAATGACAAGCATCACTTCACCGATAAAATCACACCATTCAGAAATCAAACAGAAACGAGCCAACTTTGTATGGCTCGCCGGCTCGCATGCACACACCACCCCGCGAATGAGAAGCATACAAAGCCAAATGCAGAGGTGCATGCATGAACCGATTCCTTCGCCTAGTGGATCAAATAAGCAAGCGTTGTTTCCTTTCATGTTATGGTACTCCACACGCGCAACATGCAAGCAAATGCAAGCAAATGCAAGCAAATGCAAGCAAATGCAAGCAAATGCACTGATAGCTGAGGCTGGCACGATCCTGCTGACCTTTGCACTTGCATTGCAAACTCCACCCGGTCACCTGAGTGCTCCAAAAACAAGACATGGCCGTCTTTCTGACATTTGTGCGAAGTCTGGCGACGCTTGTCGACATGTAGATGTTCAGCACACTCTTGATTGAATGGAGGTCTTCCTCTAGGAGCCATCTGACCGCACGGCATTGCACCCCTTGAAAGCGTCTCGCTGTTTTTGCAACGGTCAAGCCTGCATTGTGTGCGTGCCTGGGCCAATCTTAGGAGAAGCTTGCATCAGCCTTGCACTCTTGTATCCCCCTGTCGAGGCTATTTCCAAAACTGGTTTGAAAGTGTGCCGGCTTTCTTTTGCACTCATCTTGCTTGTTCTGAGCAGCATCCTTTCGGGCATGTCATGCGCCCTTGTCGCACTTGTCGCCCGCAAGTTTCCGCAAGCTTTTCTTGAACACGCCCACGAGATTCACAACACGCCACTCGTAACATAGGATGACTTGGTCAAACGATGGGTTCTGTCAGCGAGTCTCTTGGTGCTCTGTCTCTTTGTCTCTGTCGCGGCAGGTGTAGCTTCAACCCTCCAAGGCCTGGGGCCAACCGGCGGACAAAAACAAGAGCCGATGGGAAATTCAAGGAGTCTCCCTGAATTTCGTTCGAAAAAACCGTGAGTTCCCCATGCCCCTCCCAAATGGATCCTCTGCGAAGTTGGGCCGAACCTCGCATGAACCTCACAGGGGATCACCGACGCCCGCCCGAGGGCAATCCCCCGGATGGCCTGCTGCCAGTGAAGCGGCGCCCACCAGCACCGAGCCGTGCACGAAGACATCTTCGCCGCCTCCGCGGGCGTTTTGTCTTTGCAGAAGAAAAGCGGAGGATGTATGTATCTGGGCTGTCCCCCGCTAAAAGTTTTAACTTTTAGTGGATTAAATGCAAATCCCCACTAAACACTAGAAGGCTAAAAAGCTAAGGGGATGGCTAGGAGCCACCAAGGTATGTACTAGGAATGGTCAGGGGAACTTGGAGCAATTGTCCGTCTCTGCCAAGGAAACTCCGCGGCATGCATTCGGCAGCCCTTGGCGAGCCTTCGGCAGACACAAAGCCAAAGTTCCGGTGATCCAGCCATTTGGTTACATATCCTGGGCACATCCACAGGGCATATCATGAGTTCAGCGCCCGACAGCACTGCTTGCACTGTCAACTAGAAAGTCCATCCGCTCGAAGATGCCAGTTCATCTCAAGTAAAAGCTGGCTTTCTTTATAGACCACGAGCTTGCCACAAAGAGAAAACACGCAGGGACCCCAAACGAGCAGGCCGTCACCGCCCAATCCTTCTTTCTGCGGCCAACAGATCTCTCTTCTGCCACACTCGCAAGCTTTGCCGCCAAGTGGCCCCTCCGCATCGGCAGTGCAATCAGGGAAGCGCCATGCAGGGGCAAGTGCGAGATGTGGCCTTACCCTTGGCCAATCGACGACAATTTCTGATGTTGCACGCGTAACCTGCGATGCAATGAACTGACACAGTCAAACGCCACTTGCGATTGATATGGCAACGAAGAACAAGTTGAAGATCGTGTCTTGCTGCCTCTGCGCATTCTGCTTTGGACTAATGTCTGAGCCATCCAACTCTTCGAGTCCAGGAGCCCAAATCGTGCACACGAAGCCCCCATGCCCCTCGGTTCCCATTCGGGCTTGCACCTACCGCATTCTCAAGCATGGAGCACAGAAAACCCAAATCGTGGAGGTGTGCCTGTTGAGCATAACATGTTCAGAAGAAGCTTGCAGAAGACCTGCCCCTTCCCAGCCAGGCGCGGAACGCTTGCTTGAAGCTGGCCTCATCCTGACAAAGCGGCACTCTTCTCATGCGGGGCGCTCAGGATCCGGGATTTGGCTGGGTGAATTGTCACATGAGCGCTCACATGCGCCTTTTGCATGTGATCTGAACCTCCCCGCTTGGAGCAGTTCCTGTCATGCAACTACCTTGTCAAGCAACGCCCGCCTCGAGCACATGGACACCGGAAGGCGCCTGAGAACTCGTATTCGAGATGTACATGCGCGCAAAGCACGCGCGTGGGTACCAGTCAAACCAAGACAGCCCGCGCAGAGAACTAAGCTCCCGACCATGCCGGCCGGTGCCCACGCTCCCTAAGTGGTTCCTGGTTCTGTGCTGAGCACAAAAAGGCTGCCATCCGAACCGTTTGTCGCGCGGTTGCCGGGCTCGCGCACCAGGCCAAATGCAAGCCCATCACACTGCAACCAACCCCAAGAAGAGAGAGAGGGGGGGGAGAGGGAGCGAGCGAGAGAGAGAGGGAGAAGACACTTTGAGGCATTCCCGATTTCGGAAGTCGCGGAGACTTGTGCGAAGATACCTCTCAGACGCCGCTTGGGCATCTGGTCAGGTTGGTATGTTGGAGTCCCATCAGCTTGTTGAAAGCCGACTGAGCGGGGTGCGGAAAAAAGGCTGTCCCATGGCCCGGCTGCGCTTTTTCTTTGCTGAGCTGCGAGCATCTGCTTGGCTCAGTGGCACACATTTGACAGGCAGCTTTCACTGCGGCCCAGGCTTTGTCATGAAACAGGCCGGCTCTCTTTGGCCAGCCTTCCATGCGGCTTCTTCCCGGGTCTTGGAAAGAAGCCGCAACCATGCAATCGAATTCTCGGGACTTGTGTCCGGGACCTGGTGGTTGCTGGGATTGCAGCTCTATGTCATGCCCCATTGTTTTTTGGTTTTCCCTTTTCTTGAAATCATTGGGAAGGTTGGAATCTACTGCATTTTCGGGCATTGCGCATTTTGCAATGTTACGCCACTGGCTCGCTTCTGCATGCCAGGCACAGCACTCACTCATCTCGACTGCCCCAACCCATCATTAGCGCGACTGCGGTGGCCTGCACACACATGGCCAAATTGACGAAGTTGCCAAACTCAAGCAAGGCTGTCATGGACTCGCTGCACAAACAACCGCAAGGAAGAAGCCTGCAGAATCCTGCAAGTCTACCCTGCTGCACGAATGAATGAGCCGTAACAAAACCCAATGCAAGCAAGGTGCAGTGTTTCACTGTTGAAAATGGAATACAAAAGCTCTTTAAAGAAATCTTAAAATGGTCGTCCGGTGGTGCATGGCACTAAACCAAGCGAAGCCGAAGAAGGATCAGGCAGGAAAAATACGCCCCTTTAGCACGGCCAGCGTGTTCTTTCCTGCTTGGGATCAGTTCCCTGCCGAGCACGTAAGCAACGAACCAGTAACAAAGACATTCCAGCAATGCTTGCCCGTTCCTGCCACTCTGCGTCGCGCACTGGCATTTTCTGCGAGCCCCCGCCCGCCCTACACCTTTTTCCCCAAGCGATGTGGTCCCAAAGGCAACCCTCGTGCCCGGGCACGAGTCGTTCTACGAAACCTGCCGCCCAGACTCGGGGCTTGTGCTCGGCGAATTGGGGGCTATGGCCCTCGAGGCCCTCGAGGCCCTCGAGGCCCTCTAGGCCTTGGCCTTCAGGCCCACCCGCCGCTGAAAAGCTTGGAACGCGGGATACGGGCTTCCTTGGGAGGCGAATGCAAATTCAGGAAAGGGTTTGTCATATTCATCTCGCGCGGTTTCAAGCACAGAGTCTCAGCTCTTTGAAGCAAAAGCTTCAAAAGGGCCGTCTCCGAACCTGCCAATATCTTCCACGAGTATCGACTTTTTATGTGCGCAAATTGACACTATGTGCAGCAAAACATGCATGCTTGCACTGAAGAGAACACAATGGCCATGATAACCCCATGAACCCCATGGCGAGAAAGCCTTGTGCATGCTATGTGCTAGTTCGTGGGGAATTCCTTGGGGCCCATAGGCGCCGTTGCACTTGCTGTCAGAGATGCTCTTGTGGAGAAGGCTCAGGATGAACTCCAGCTGAACAAAGTAGCAGCGGAGAAGGAAAGTGTTGTCGATTTGCCTCAACCCACATCTGTCTGCAGAAAAAACGCGTGGATATCAAAGCCGCAAGTTGATAGCCACAGCTGGTTTTTGAAGCAGTTGCAGGCTTTGGGGCGACCCAAGGCGCTTGCCCCTCCAAATGACCATGCTCACGAGCAATGGCAAACATAAACGCTAGCCAAGGCGCTGGTCGAAGCGGCTCTTGACATTTTTCCAGGAACTTTTGTCCAGCAACCTGAGGTTACATGACTGCATGGCAAGGGCCCGCGATCCGCCTGCTGTCTTTGGCCTGGCGCTGCATTGCATTCTGCTGCCGGCCTTGTGCACCACTGCACGTTGGCGCAGCAGCCAGAAATGGAGACCCCCTAGGCACGCAGGGGAAGAGATGCGGTGCAACGCAAGCTTTGGATTTGTCTGGCCGTGCTGACTCGGCCTCTGCCGCCAAGCGAATGCTTCGCACAGAGCGGAGGGCAGCACAAAAGAAAGGGGGAGAGAGAGAGAGAGAGAAGAAGAAGAAAAAAGAGGGAGAAAGAGAGAGAACATGTTTACAAGGATCAATCGCACTGATTCCAAGGATGCACATCGTCCCACATTCTTCCCTGCACTGTCACCCCTTCCCTTTCAGAAGGCCTGGGCAAGCTGGTAGTCCTGATGCAGCAAATCCCGGTCCAGCACCACCCCGGTCACCTCCTGGTACTCCGCCGCGAAGCAGTCCAGCCTTTGCTCGCGCGCTTCGGCGCGGGAAATCCCAAAAGAACCTCCACAGGGATACATTATACACCTGAACATTGCCTTGCAAATGGTGGTTTCCCTTTATTTTTGTGGAAAAAGCCATGTTTCAAATGGGAAACATGTATGTGTTAAGGAGCCCTGCTGTACAGAAAAACGTTCGGGCCGCATGCAAAACGAGTACCAGGTCCAGCCAAACCAGAAATGATCTGCGCATCTCCTCCTTTCATCTGGTGATTTGAGGCAATAAATTGCAAGGGAATGCTGCTCCAGATGGGCTGTTCAAACCCTGATGATGCGACTCCTGGGGCCTGGGGGCGCGAGAAAGTGAGCTCCGAGCACGCTTTTCCAGTGGCATCCCTTGGAAAACCGATTGGCATCCCCGACCGCTGCGGAAACCAGCGCTCCCCCAACCCCAGAGCTTCACCTTGGGTTCTGAATCCGAGGTGATGCGATTTCCAGTGGTCCAGATTCACAACAAGTCCAAGGGATATGTGTGCATCGGAATCCCCCCCCATCAAGTTTCAGGAAGTTTGTTGCTCGATGTTGTTTCACTGGCGGATGGTGGGGCCTGGCAAAAGCACCAGATCAATTTGGTGGGGAGTTGGGTTCCATATTCGTGCGTAGTTTCTCAAGCAGACTAGTATTGAGCTGCTTGAGCTGACCGGCGACTCCTTCTCGCTATGCAGATTTGCCAACCCTCTCTGATTTCTAACAATGTTAACTTTGGATTAATCCGGAGAACCCTAGCCAGCGGAACCTTGCTGAAAAGGGAAGCACCCCTAGCGCGGTCTCATCGGCCCTTGGCCCGCCCAGTTAAAAGCGGGCAGCAGCTTGCGCTCGTGCTGCTCCAAGAACTCCGGTTCGGCGCCCATCCAGCCCCCACACAAGATCGCCGGCATGGTGCTGAAGGAAGCGCCCCCCCAGTCCTCAGCTCGTTCGAACACGAAAATGGCGCACGCAGCCTTGAGGCTTCGCCAAGCATCGATCAGACCACACTGGATTGCTCCGTTCTCCTTCCAGAACATCGCGTTGTCCACCTGCGCGTTGGGATGCGCAAAGCAGTTGTACTCCGGGATGAGCTGGAAGTAGAACATAATCTCCTGCATGTAGCGCGCCATGTCCTTCGCCTGCACGCGCAAATGAGGTTAAGGCCTCTCACGCTGACTTGATCGTCCGGCTGAGGAAAACAACATGCCGCAATTCGGCGCTCGCCTCCTTCAGGATTTTGGCAAGGGTCTTCTCTTCAACAAGCTCCGGCGGGAAGCAGTGCATTGCTGTTTGCCTGGCGGCCGATCTCACCTCACAGACTCACAGCCTACAAAACTGTCATGCCCCTGCCAACCAAAATGAGGTGGATCAATGCCCATTTTCGCATCTGAGCCTGCAATCGCGCAAAGAGATCAAACCTGCCCCGCCCTAGCGAAAACAAGATTTTAGCCTTGAATCACTGCCGCCGGTCACCAGCCCAGATTTGGGACCAGCTGCGCCATCTTTTGTGTGGATGAGGACCACCGCGGTTGGAAAGCGCAGTCGAGCTGCGGAGAAAAACACGTGGGGCACTGCTGATCTCACATGAAAACAAGGCTAAGCTGCAAAACTTGCCCATGGCCAAACGAACTTGGGACATGCCGCTCCTCTAAAAAGTTGTCAACTTGTGTGTGTGCCATACAAGAATCAGCAAACTGCCGAAACAAGACCACAGGTGCCATGGCCAAAACTTCTGAGGGCAGTCCCTGCTAAAAGTTGAATCCCTAGATCTTGTTGCTTGAAATTGAATGCCCACTGGATTCAATCATGGACACCACTCCATACCCCCACCCCCACGAGCACCGCGCACACGCACCCCCATAGTGTTGACCCCATATTACTCAACCCCAGTTTATTAGTAGGGGGGTTGGGGCCCCTCGAAAAAGTGGCCTGATTCCCAACACTACACCCATCCCCACTAAACCCAGAATCGGACACCCCCCTAACTCCATACCCCCACGCCCACCCCCATACCACCTCACCCCCATGATTACCACCCCGCCCTCCTCACAAAGTGCTCCCCCAGCTGGATGAAAGACATCCCCGCGCTTTCCGGGAAGCCACTGGCCGCCACCAGCGGCTGCATCTTCGGGTCTGACAAGCCTCGTGTCGAAATGCCCGAGTTTTTTGAGGCCCCGGAATGGGCGGCGCTCATCTTTTTCTGCGGGGGGGGGGGGGCTTTGGCTGTTTGCAATGGAAGCCCCAAGGACAAACCACCATGTTCTTGGGAGTCCCCAAAAAAAAGATTGACGCGCCCAAAGGGAATGGAAGAAATGGCCGCACAGTTCGCCGGAAGGCATTTGATGAAGAAGGCCTCTCGCTGCCTCTGGCCGAGAGGTGCCACTCTGGAATGCAAGTCCTCAAGCGACTCAAGGCATGAATGCAAAACATGCCCTTGGACTGTGCATTCCCAAATGCATGTAAGCAACTTTCTTGATTTTGGTGACCGTTGGATCAGCGAAGCACTCATCAATTTGGCTTGTGCGCTTTGAGGTGTGATAGTACCTCAGTCTCGCAAGGTCACACGGCCTCTCCTCACAAAGGGGCGGACCTGCATGCGACATGCTAGCCGTTTTTGTGTGCCGACTTGCTCCAGCTTGAGGCTCCCAACACAGCAACCTATGCCAGCGTCGAGAGCCCAGCCCGCAAACCTCACGCCTGCACCGAGCTCGCCGGGCCCATGGCCAAGACGCCAGCCGAAAAAGCGCGCCAGGCACTTGCTGTGCGCGTAGTACATCTCCATGGCGCACGGCAGCGCCCAATCCCGGTACTTCGCAGCAGGCGGGAGGAACTCTTGGGGCCCGAGCTCCTTCTTCCAGTCCGAGCCTAAAGAAAGCGCGGATTGCCGAGCATGGCAAAAACAAAGGAACTGAAGAGCCCGACAAACCATGATCCAAAGACAACCAACCACAAGAAACTGGCAAGCAAAGATCCCAACAACACGCAACACGGCAAATGTCCAAAACACATATCGGCTGGTTGCAGCTGTTGTCACTTCTTGGGGCATCAGCCCGCTGTATGGCTTTCTTTCAAAAGGTGCACGCGAGCGCGTGCATCCAGTCTGCAAAACAACATCCTCGACACCTTTCAAGAAGCCGTACAGTCGCCTGCTCACGCAGTTTCAGAAAGCCAAGGGTCATGGCCCACCCTTGCACGCGGGTCTTGGGCAACTGACCACTGAACCACTCGAACGAGCGAAACAAGGTCAAAGCACTTGCGCCAAGAAGCCATAAGGAACCCGCTCCATGATCCAAATGAAGTTGGTTGTCCTCCGATTCATGTCGCTGAAGAAGATCCGCGGGGTTCGGATCGGCAGCTTGCCACTAAGGAGGTTGTAGAACATGGTTTCCGCCCAATCACCGTTGAGCGTCACCTGGGTTGGCGTCGGAATTGTCTCTTCGTGAAGTCGTGCCCGTTCATCCGAGAGGCTGAGACCTTGAACCGCTCGTTCTTGCCAGTGAACTCGTGTGGCATCTTCACAAACATATCCTGAGCAGGAGTGCTTCTCCTTTCGTCCGCTGGTTGCTGGCGCTGCGCAAGAGACATCTCCCTCCAATGCTCGCAAACCTTCGCAGCCAACTGCCGTTGGCAGCTCAGGTTCGAAAGGGAGCGTCACAGTTCCACAAGCGGGCGCTGGGCAGTAACACCGACATGGACTTTGTGCCAGGCGTCCGTCCCGGGCTCATCTCCGACTGGCTGCCGCTCGTACTCCACGGAAAGCAGAATCTTCATGCCGGCCCCGCCCCAGCTGGCTTCCTGAGACATTCGCAAATACATCTATGGACATGCGTGTATGTGAATATATATTTATATATGTATACATATACATATATATATGTCGCTATGTCTGTATGCCGTATGCCTGCCTGCCCGCCCACCCGCATGCATGCGTACGCGTAAAACTTCCACACACACATGCATATATATATATATACATATATATACATCTACACCCAGCCGCTGCAAACTGCTTTCACTCGCATTAAAGAGTCGTCAGAGCTGGTCGACTCTGTGGTGTTGGCCGCCTTGACGTCGAACTGGGTGAACTTCACCTCCATTTGCCGCAACTCCACAAGGTACAACTGGACTCAAGTCATTGACTCATTTTGTGTGCCTGCTGTGCTTTTGAATCACCGAGGCGTTAATCTCTCATGCTCAACAGGCATCGCCGTGAGGCCCGAATGTTTGGACCCCCTTCCCTGCCCGCCCTTCCAACTCCCCGCCACACGGTTGTCCGATGGCAGCGTGCCCGCTGCGTGCATGGCCGCCGTCAGCCACTCCGGGCCCAAGGTTGCCAGCTCTGCCGGCAACAGCGGGATGTGCAAGCCCCAGAACTCTCCAATCGCAGGCTCCCCCACCACCTCCCAAGTGCAGTCAGTCGATTTTGTGGGCGAAGCAGGAATTGAGAAGTGACATGTGCAAGAAACATGTCCCATCCTTCCGCGGGGGAGGGGGGGGAAGGGATGTCGTGAAACATGCTGAGACCTGGTCCTTTCTGAAAGATCAGGTCAGGTCCCCAATAGAAATTCCAAGAAGACAAGCACAGAAAAGTGTTGGGTTCAGTCATGAAGCCTTTTCCCAAATGGGTCTCTCCACTTCACACCGTCCCATCTTTCGGAGAAGACGCTGTACCCACAAACATACCTCCCCCCACTTGCGGAGAGGCGTCATGAAAAGGAAAGGGCTGGCGCCTCAGTTACCCCTCTTCCTCAGCCCTCTCTTCTTCCAGAAAACCGCCAGCTTTGGCGGCTCACTTTGAGCTTCACTCCCCTTTTAAGAGAAGACTCCGAAAACTGGTGGAACCACCGCCTACAACCTAACCACCTGAACCAACACAACGGAATGCGCCAGGGGCCAAAAGCCCCGGACCTTCTTAAAGGCGCCCAGGCTGGTGGGCCGCCCCCCGTCCCCGAAGCGGGGGAAGGTAGCCCAGCGCTCCGCTGGCAACGGCGCCCAAGTGGTCCACCTGGAGCTCCTAGCGAGTCGATGGCGCGGATCGCTGATTGCACGAGTCAGCTGTTCCACGAAGAGCCAACAGGGCACCCGGCTCGCACTTGGGTTCAAGGCAACGCTGCCCTACTTGCCTTCCGTTTTGTGGCCGGGGTTCCAGCTGCTCAAACGGCTCCTCTCATTCTCCTCTGGGGTTTCCGGGTGCTTGGGCTCTTCACTGGTGCCATTGGTGCCATTGGTGCCATTGGTGCCATCGGGCCCTTTGGCCGACACGGCCAAGGGCTTGCCAGAGATCGACAGGCTCACCCAGCCCTCCGCGGGGCCTGGCGCGAGGCTCGCAGACAAACCTGGCCTCATGCCGCTGACATGTCCGTTGGCCAAATGGTTTGGGTCCGGGGCCTGGCCAAAACCACTGGCTCAGCAAACGAGCAAGGGACGCCTTGCCCGGACAGCAGCTTGTATTGCAACCTTTCTCCTTTCAGCGCCAGCTGCTCCACCAGGGATCCAGTGGCCAGTCCTGAAGCTCTTGACCAGCAGCTCTAAGGGAGTCCCCCCCCCCAAAGACGGTCTACAAGCTGCCATGTTCCTGGCGCCTCGCCTGCTCCTTTGCCTGATCTTGCTGAGTCTCGCTCATCCAGCTGAGCTGACTTGATGCTCTCGCCCTCGCGAACGAGGATGCCTCCCTTGTCAGCACCTCCAACGATCTCCCAAAACAGCGGCCGCGGCATGAGGCGGAACACCGGGTGCCAGCTGCGGGCGGCAAGCTGCTAGAAAGTGTTAAAAAGATCTGTCGCCGTTGGCCGTGCCTCTGAGCCCTTCTGCCGATGCAGCGCTGGAGAAAGAAAGCTCAAAGCGCGGCTGTTCACTGAGCCCTGTCTTCACTTTGCCAGATCCGACAGCCACTGTTTCATTCATGTTGCAAAGCGGGTGCTTGCCGGTCAGGTCTCGCTGAGTGGTTTGGTTTATCTTGACATCTTCCAACGCCTGCTGTTGGCGTTGCCCTTTGGGCCAAAAGCTTCCCAGTGCGCATTTCCTTTCGAGTCCGCTCCGCCCATTCGGCCACATGCAAGTATAGCTGTCTGAGCCTCAAACCCTCCTCGGTTGACTTTCTCACGCCTCCAAAGCGGACACGGGTCATCTACCTGAAGCGAATGATTGGGACACTGACAGGTCCCTACATCAGCGTGTGCTGAATGAAACACCCATCTGAGGTGATGGCACACTCTTCTGGAGCTGCACACGGCACCTGTTCAACCCCCACTCAAACCAGCACTTGCTGGCGAAAGCAAAACACCCCCATCAAAAGCACTTGCTGGCAATGATGCTCTTAAATAATTGCGACTTTCTGCGGCAAATGCCACTCTCAGAGTGCCAACGGCTCTCGCGTGATCTCTGAACAAACTGGCACAAAACGCCAAAGCAGCCAAGCAGCCTGGGCCAATCGCGAGCTGTTGTTGCAGCTGCGCGGCACAGATGGAGTGCTCATGTCGAACCTTGCGCATGTACGTCACAAATATCTAGCCCCTGCACGCCTTCAGTGTGTTTGTGTGTATGTGCGCGCGGGCGTCGAAGTCTGGGAATCCAAAGATTTTCTTGAGTGATTGCCCGGCTCATTAGCAATGGCATTGGGAGCTGCAATGTCTAGCCAACTAAGTGCGCTCCTCATTTGCCTGCCCCAAGCTTCGCAAAATGTTCTCTCGATGTCTGAAAGTTTTGTTCGCTTGGTTGGCAAAAACCGCCACAGAGGCTAGCGTCTCCATCATACTTTCAGGGTCAAGAGTCTGTGCAGGCTGTAGAAAATCACACCTAAATCGCATTTGAAAATCGAGGGTCCCCGGAAATTGAAAACACAAATCAAGCAAAATTCCTAGTTGACATTGAGATGTCCCAGAAATTATCTCAATAAAGAATCCAGCAAGCCACGTGCAGAACAATACTGGGATCGAATCGGGTATGTCGCAAAAGGCATGTAAAGTGTCAAGAAGCAGGTCATAGTCAAGGCGTATCGAAAGCATAACCAACAAGACAGAGCCCACAAACCCGAATGCACATCACTTTGCGCAAGCCCAAGAAAATATTTAGAAAGAACATTTTTCGGTATAAGCCAATGGGGCTCGCAATCAAGCCTACTGCGCAAACTATGTTTTTCAGCTTGTAAAACTGTACTTTGCGTGCTCCGCTTGTTGCTACAAAGCTACGATTTTCAATCTGGAGCTGGAAACCTGCGCTTAGCGCGCTAGACTTGTACTACAAAGTTGCGACTTTCCAGCCGGAGCTGGTACTTCGCGCACTAGACTTGCGCTACACAGCTGCGATTGTCCAGCTAGAGCTGATGCACTACAAAGTTGCGATTTTCGAGCTGGAGCTCAAAACCTGTACTTCGCGTACTATACTTGCACTTCAAAGTTGCGATCTTCCAGCCAGACCTGGAAACTTGTACTTCACGTACTATACTTGCACTACAAAGTTGTGACTTTCCAGCTAGTGCTGAAAACCTGTACACTTCGCGCACTAGACTTGTACTTCAAAGTCGCAATTTACAGCTGGAAGCAACACTTTTGATCCGCACTTCTGATTGACACTTCTGATCGACAGTTTGAGCAACACTGCAGAACCACACTTCTGATTGACACTGATGAGCAACACTTCTGATCCAAATTTCTCATCGACAGTTCTCAGCAATACTTCTGACCAACACTGCTCATCAAAACTTCTGAACGACATTTTTAAGCAACATTGCTGAATTGACACTTCTGAGCGACACTTGTGAGCAACACTGCTGAATTGACACTTTTGAGCGACACTCTGAGCAACACTTCTGATCGACACTTCTGACCGACACTTTTGAGGAACCCTTCTCATCAAAATTGACACTTCTGAGCGAACTTTCTGAGCGACACCTAATCAACACTTCTGAACCACACTTCTGATCGACACTTTTGAGCAACACTTTTGATCCGCACTTCTGATTGACACTTCTGATCGACAGTTTGAGCAACACTGCTGAACCACACTTCTGATTGACATTCATGAGCAACGCTTCTGATCCACACTTCTCATCGACAGTTCTGAGCAACACTTCTGACCAACACCTGATCCACACTGCTCATCGACACTTCTGAACGACACTTCTGAGCAACACTGCTGATTTGACACTTCTGAGCAACACTTCTGATCAACACTTCTGACCGACACTTTTGAGGAACCCTTCTCATCAAAATTGACACTTCTGAGCGAACTTTCTGAGCGACACATGATCAACACTTCTGAACCACACTTTTTCTGATCGACACTTTTGACCAACACTTCTGAGCGACACTTTTTCTGATCGACTTTTCTGAGCAACACTTCTGATCGACACTTTTGAGCAACACTTTTGATCCGCACTTCTGATTGACACTTCTGATCGACAGTTTAAACAACACTGCGGAACCACACTTCTGATTGACACTGATGAGCAACACTGCTGAATTGACACTTTTCATCGACAGTTCTGAGCAACACGTCTGATCACTTCTGATCTGATCAACAGTTCTAGTTCTGAGCAGCACTTCTGATCCACACTTCTGACAACATTTCTGAGGGACGCGTCTGAGCAACACTTCTGAGCAACACTTCTGTTCGACACTTCTGATCGACACTTCTGAGCAGCACTTCTGATCGACACTTCCGAGCAACACTTCTGTCAACACTTCCGATGAGCGACACTTTTGATCGACACTTCTCAACGACACTTCTAATCGACACATCTGAACGACACTTCTAATGGACACTTGTGATCGGCACGTCTGAACGAAACTTCTGTCTCCAAATGCCCCACAGCGAGAGCGATTCGACCCAACCATAGCGCGCAAAGGGTTCACTTTGCACGCTCAAAATGCGCACCGCGCCGCAGCAAGAGCGATTCGACCCACCCAATGTGCGCAGACGGTTCACTTCGCATGCTCAAAATGCGCACCGCGCCACAGCGAGAGCGATTTGACCCACCAAAAGTGCGCAGAGGGTTCGCTTCGCATGTTCAAAATGCGCACCGCGCCACAGCGAGAGCGATCTGACCCCTGCGCAGAGGGTTCGTTTCGCATGCTCAAAACGCGCACCGCGCCACAGCGAGAGCGATTTGACAAACCCAGAGTGCGCAGAGGGTGCGTTTCGCATGCTCAAAATGTGCACCGCGCCACATCGAGAGCGATCTCGCTGATTCAAAGTGACGCGCTTGCCACGAAATCTACACCCAGGCGCGCTCAAAATGCGCACGTCGCCACAGCGAGAGCGATTTGACACACCCAAAGTGCGCAGAGGGTTCGCGAAAAATGTGCACCGCGCCACAGCGAGAGCGATCTCGCCGAGTCAAAGTGACGTGCCTGCCACGAAATCTACACCCAGGCACCAAAATACTGTGAGCTCCAAAGTGCCGTGCCTGCCACGAAATTCAACCAAAACGCTCGAAAGTGCCACGCCTGTCACGCAACGTAAGCTTGCCACAGACTCAAAATCACCCAAACTGCTGGACCTGCCACGAAATCCAACCTTGACACGTTTACGACACGCATCGAAAACTAGCACGGGACTGTGGCGCCAGAATGGTTTCGACCAATTTTGACACGCTTCAGGCTCGCCAAAACGAGCCCATTGTACGACAGGGCCAACGAAAACGGCGCCGGCGCAGGACACGTCAAAGCGACCACCCCTGGATCACACATCCCACTGGCACGGCAACGAGAACACGCAGCCTTCCAAAACACTGCGCCTGCGCAGCCAAACGACACGTCAAGCTTCGAGAAGCTACGATGCGCGCACAGGGCCAACGAAAACAGCACTTGCCGATCCATCAAAAACACGCTTCCATGACGAACCCCAATAGCACACGCTTATCGCCTCACCGCGGACGGTTGCGAACGGTTGCGGACGGTTGCGAACTCTGGAGCAACTCCTCGCGAACACGGCCTCCACCCCCAGACCCCCACTTATAAACGGGAACCCTTCGCTACGCATTCGGGAAAAAAGGAGTCGCTGCAATGCTCCGTCCAAGGTGCCACTGAGCCCCACCGTGAACACCGCCAGGCTGCCCCTGCGATTCACGGCGCGAAATCGACGGCCCCATCCCGCGTCCGACTTCCACACGCACACACCCCTCAACAACATCGCAGCCTTAAAGAGATCCATTGGCAAACTGCAATTGGTACTGGTGAAACCGTCACTCTGATGGCCCAAGGAAAAAACCGCCAAGCTTTACTCAAGCAGGTGAGGACTTCCGTAGCCTGCCGCTGAGTGTGCAGCCGTTGAGCCAGGTCCATGCCTAGAGTGCCGCTGGAATGCAACAGTTTTGCATACATATTGTTCTGGACGATCAAGACACGGTTCAACACAATCCAAATGGAACAATGTTGCTTCTAGCATTAAAAAATGATGCATATGTTTCTTCCCAGCCCCCTGTACAGAATAAGAATTAGGCAATACTGACACAATTCTAAACGAGCAGAGGTCCTGCCGGCCCCAACTCCAGTCTTACTAGGGACATGTTGACACCAATGCTGAACGGATAGTAAGCCAATTCGAAAGCCAGCGCAAATAGATGTCTGCTGTGTGTTTTCCTTACTCGGAAATTGCCATGTTCAACGATTGTTGGGCCCGGAAACGGGGGGGGCCGCCGACTCTATAAATAGAATCTGTTCAGCCCCCGGGAGAACAGATTCTTCCAACCTCGAACATTTGCGTGTTCCAAGAAGCTAGAATTTCTATGTCCAAATGGAACATTTCTTGACAGAGAGATATTCCATCTGGATGGAAACTATTTTGTCTGATTGGAAACCTGCACATGTACAGGAAAAGTGTGGACAATGGAGAGTATTGCATCTGATTACATAATTACATAAAATATTGCTTCCAATCAGGTACAATATTGAACAAATGGAATGCTACGTTTTGAGCACAAGAAGTCTGTCCAAACAGAATATTCCAACGCTCGACAATGTTGTGCTCTGAGAAAATAGAATACTTCTGTCCAAATAGAACATTCGTTCCCAGACAGAACGCTATGCTATCCGGGTACAAAATATGTCGGGACGGAGCATATTCTATCTGGACCGAACATGACATGCCGTACTGTTTTTCCTGACAAACATGCTAAACATGAAAGCCACGCTGCCCTTTTTTCAATATTCAATCTCAACACAGATAGCTCTCTCTCTCTCTCTCTGACATTGTGTCACGTTTCTTTCCTGTATACTATGCATGAGTGAAAAAAGTATCGAAACCATCCAACAAGGCACACTGACCCCCCCCATTGGTGAAAGTGAATGCCACAAACAATCTGGACAACTATGTTCAAGACTCAGTCCACCCAAAGGCAGCCACACTTTGAATATCACACCCTCCCACCCACCTCCCTCCCTCAAGGAATTTGGGCAAGGCTCAAGCAGACTGCACGGCTCCCAGCAAACGGCACACTTCGACCTCCTCTGGCAGCTTCGCCTGAACGCTCTCGCGAGGCTTCAGCTTAACCTCCCTGAACCCGCACAAACAGTTCAGATTCAAGGCCACAAGAAAATGCAGGGGACCCCAAGAGAAACCTGCGAAGATTCGCAGCCCCCGACAGAAAGTACCCAACTGGAGGTCGCCGCTGTCACAGTGTCCCTGCCTCGGCCGGCTCCCTAGAGATGATGGGGCCCTCCGTCAAAGGCTCTCCTCGGCACGCTGCAAGGATCCATGGCCATACGCAATGAGACGAACTTTTTGACTCAAAGCCTGTGGGCCGTTGGGAAGGAACTAACTGGATGCGTTTCACGTGGGGGAAAAAACAAAAAACATGACCCGACTGAGACTGCAATACAAGGCACGCAAGCGCTTTCCCAATTCCATCTCCAGCAGCTTGGGCACATCCTCAAGCCTCGCATCTAGTGCAGTCATTGAGGAGGCTGGGGTGGAGAAAGCCATGGGAGCAGCAGATGGTGCCGCTGAGACTGCACAGGCTGGAGCTGTGGTAGTGGTGGCGAACATGGTAGCTGCGGCCAGCGGGGGAGCTGCGGCTGCACTTGGGCTCAGGGCACTCTGAGCGAGGGGTGGGCCCTGCGTTGCCTCGGGCAAGGTGCCCAAGCTGCCCAGGCCTATGCTCAAAGCTTCGGGTTCAAGCTCCGAGCAGAACACCGGGTACCTCGGCTTCTCCTCGATCTCTCGGTGCAGGGACCGCCTCGGGAAGCTGGCAAAGCCCACAGAAGCATCCAGCCACGCCGGCAAGGGCGCGGGCGTGGGCGCGGGCGCGGGTGGCTCTGCCTCTTGGCCCGGGACCGCCGCTTTCTCCTCGGGCGCGCCCTCTCGCCAGGCGATGCGGAAGGTCTTCCCGTCGCGGCGGCAGGGCGAGGCCAGGCTCGGAGACGAGCACGCAGTCACGCTGGCGGTGCCACTGGTCCCGCTGGCAGCCGCAAGTTGGGCCACATCTTCTCGCTGCGGGTCTGGGGCAGCTGCAGAGCCTGCCGCTTGCGCACGCGGAATCTGCAAGCTAGCAGCTTTGTGCCCCACTTGCATCATGATGCTAGCCCTGGAATTGGAGGATTAAACAGAATCAACCGCACACGCATGAGCCCAAAGTAAACCCCTTCATTGGCCTGGTGTTCTGGTGGAGGGCACTGGGCTCGCTTCGCGCGAGGCCTCGCAGAACCGC